AGCGCTTCTGCTTCCTTCCGCCAAGTCACTAATATATAATTGTAAATAGTCTCAACACCAATCTGTGAAACCCAACTGGTAATAAGTCACCAACCTGAGAAAGAACCCTTGTCCCCCTTCGCTGTTTCCTGCCCATTAGCAAATTGTCTGTCCACGCCAATATACTACTTTCAACTCCTGGGCCCTTGTCTTATATGACTTAACCTTTTGTGAAATACATTGCTGAACACTTTCTGGAAATCCAAATACAACATCTACTGGTTCCCCTCTATCCACTCTGCTTGGGACTTTCAAAAAGCTCCAAGTAAATTTGTTAGACATGATTTGGCATTCATGATGTCATGCTGACTCTTCGCGATTAGATTACAAGTTTCCAAAGTGTTATTTCCTTAATAATTGATTCCCACATTTTTCCAACAATAGATATTAGCCTATCAGCCTAAAATTCTCGCTTTTTTGAACAGGGATGTTACCTTGGCAAATTTTTGCAATACTCCTGTATCTCTAGAGAATCCAAGCATTCTTAGAAAATTACAACCAATGCATCTATTATCTTTGAAGCTACCTCTTTTAGGATCCTAGGGTGCAAGCCATCGGGGCCAAGTGAATTATCTGCCTTTAGCTCCATTTATCTGTCTAATATAACTTCTCGTGATGATGGTGCTTATTTCTTCCCCTGAACTCTTTGGTATTAAAAGGCATGTTTGTAATATTTTCCACCATAAAGACTGATTCAAAAAATCTGTTTAACTCATCTGTCATTTCCTTGTTCTCCAAAACTATCCCGCCAGATTAATTTTCTAAGAGGCCTATGGTCACTTTGATCTCTCTTTGTTTTTATATATTTAATGCTTTTGTCAGTTTTTATATGCCTCACTAGTTTGCCCTCACCAGGTTATTGTCTCTAATATCTTTTTGGTCCTCCTTTGCTGGATGCCTAATTTATCCCAGTCTTCAGGGCTATCACTGACTTTAGCCTTTTCATTCAACTTAATATTGAATTATTCAATATTAATTCCTAACTTCCTTAGTTAGCCACACTGGTTTATCCCTCTCTTCAAATCTCCTCCCTACTGGGATGCACTTTTACGGAGATTACCTCCTTAAAATGTCAGCACTGCTTGCTTACTAGCTTTACTGTTAATCTATCCGTCCAATTCACTTCAGCTAACTCTATCTTCATTTCATTGTAACTCTCATTAAGTTAACACAGTTGTTTCCAATTTCTCACTGTCAAACTGAATACTAAATTCTATCATGTTATTATCACTACATCTTGGGGAATCTTTTACTCCAAGGTCATTTATTAAACCGTCCCATCACACATTGCCAGATCCACGACTTATTGTTACAGAAAACTATCCCTAATGCATTCTATGCATTTGTTGTCATAGCTACCCTTTCCACCAGATTGTCCAAATCAACATGATGGTTAAAGCCACCTATAAGTATTGCTCTGTTCTTTTTACATGCTCCTATTATTTGCTAATTTACTGCAATGTGGCTATTTGTGGGGATCCATACATTACTCCTACCAATGCCTTCTTTCCCTTGCTGTTTCTTTACCTCAATCCAATGAACTCCACATCAACTAAGCCTAAATCGTCTCTCACAACTGTCTACATTTCATCTCTTACCAACAGTGCTACCCCACCTCCTTTCCCTTCTCTCTTGTCCTTCTGAAATGTCAAACATTCCGGAATGTTACGTTTGCATTTTTGATGTCCTTGTAACCATATCTCCATAATGGCTACGAGATCATATCCATTTACTTCTATCTGCCCTGTCAGTTTGCCTGCCTTATTCCAAATGCTTCATGCTTTAAGATACAAAAGCTTAACTGTTTGCTATTTTTCATGTCAACTTTTCTTTATACTGGGGCCCTATTTGTCTCTTGTCCTTGATTAGCACGTCCACTGTTTTTGCATTTTACTGTTGTTTCTTTTATTGCTGTCCTTGTTTTTCTTTCTCGTCACCTGCTTAGGTTCATCCCCCTACCATTCTAGTTGAAACACGCCAAAACTCTCAAGTAAACACTCACTCTACGACATCAATCACCGCCCAAGTGTAACAGTTTGTACGGGTACCACCTCCCCTACAACTGATCCCGATGTTCCAGGAATCTGAAACCCTTGCACTATCTTTCCAGTAATGCATTCACTTGATATATATTTTGTCCACTCTGCTGTGCTGTGAAAATATGAACGTATACCTTCATAATTTCTATTTTCCCTAATATACAAACTTTCCATTTGTCAATCCTTGTACAGGTACGGTTCTCAAAACCAAAAACTGCAGGGCCAAGTCTGATCAGCAAGTGAGATCGGAAAGTCAGCAAGTCAGCACAGGAAAAGACTGGCACACAAAACCAACAACAAATCCATGCTAGTGCAATACCTAGCTGAACAAGCTAGTAAGCTGTATAACTTATTTGAGAAATATTTATGCATGGTAGCAATATTTCTCCTCTGTTTACCATAGAGAAAAACATCAAGACATGGGAATATGGGCAAGTTAGTGGTGATATCTTGGGGACAGTCCATGTCACAATAGAGGTGGTGTTGGAAGTATTAGAATGTATGAAGGTGGATAAATTTCCTGGTCCTGACCATATATATCTAAGAACCCTGCAAGAGGCTAGAGAAAAAATTGCAGGGGCCCTGGCAGATATATTTGCATCACCATTAGCCACGGATGAAGTCCCGGAAGACTGGAGGGTAGCGAATGTTGTGCCCTTATTCAAGAAGGGCTGCAAAGAAAAACCTAGGAATTGTAGACCAGTAAGCTTAACATCTGTGGTAAGTAAGTAACTGGAGAGGATTCTGATGATTAAGATATATATGCATTTGTAATGACAGGGTTTGATTAGGATTAGTCAGCAGAGCTTCATGCATGGGAGATCATGCCTCACAAATTTGTTAAGAGTTCTTTGATAAAGTGACCAAGAAAGTTGGTAAGGGCAGGGCAGCAGACATAGTCATATGGATTTCAGTAAGGCCTTTGATAAGGTTCCACAGGATAGGCTGCTCTGGAAGGTTAGACTGCATGAAATCCAGGCAAATTGGATATACAATTGGTTTGATGGTAGGAAGCAGAGTGTAATAGTGGAAGGATGTTTGTTGGACCGGAGGCCTGCAACTAGTAGTGTGCCTCAGGGGTCGGTGCTGGACCCTATGCTATTTGTTATCTGTATCAATGATTTGGATGACAACGTACAAGGCATGATTGGTAAGTTTACGGATGATACTCAAATAGGCAGTATCATGAACAGTGAGGAGGGTTATCAGAAATTGCAGCAGGATCTTGATCAGCTGGGGAAGTGGGCTGAGAAATGGCAAACGGAGTTTAATATACATAAGTGTGGGGTGTTACTTTTTGGAAAGTCAATCAAGGCAGGAGTTTCATGATGAATGGTAGGGCCTGAGGAGTGTAGTGGAACAGATGGACCTTGGAGTTCAGGTGCATGGTTCTCTGAAAGTGGACTCACAGGCAGACAGGGCAGTGAAGGAGGCTTTTGGCACACTGGCTTTCATCAGTCAGGTCATTGAGTATAGGAGTTGGGAAATTATGTTGCAGTTGTACAGGAAGCTGGTGAGGCCGCACTTGGAATATTGTGTTCAGTTTTGGCCACTTTGCTCTCAGAAGGAGGTTATTAAATTGGAAAGAGCGCAGAAGAAATTTACAAGGATGTTGCCAGGACTCAAGGGACTGAGTTACAGGGAGAGGTTGGACAAGCTAGGACTTTTTTCTTTAGAGCTAGGAGACTGAGGGGGGATCTTACAGAAGTGTATAAGATCATGAGAGGCATGGGTAGGGTGAATGCACGCAGTCTTCTTCCCAGGGTTGGGGAATCAAGGACCACAGGGCATCAATTTAAGGTAAGAGGGGAAAGAATACATGCGAACCTGAGGGGCAACTTTTTTTTTTAAAACACAGAGGATGGTACGCAAATGGAATGAGGTGCCAGCGGAAGTGGTTGGGGCAGGTCCATTAACATTTAAAAGGCATTTGGACGAATAGAAGGATATGGGCCTACTGAAGGGAAATGAGTTATCGCAGATGGACACTTTGGTCAGTATGGACCAGTTTGGGCCAAAGGGCCTGGCTCCATGCTGTGGGACCCTATGACTCTATGAACCTATAAAAAAGTCTGGTTTTCAGTTAGTCAGGTTTGATACACTAAACCTGTACATTTATATTCATAGATATTTATACCTATAATCCAGGTCCCTGAAGGGAGTGAAATGGATTCAGAAAAAGTCAGCAAGATACATAATTTTGTCAGTTTGAATTTATTTTCACACTCTGAAAAGCTAAATACATTTAAACTAAAATCACTGCCATTAATTTGAGACTGAAGCCGTTGAGTCTAACAAATAATCCGAACGGTGAAATAATCTTAGAATATGAATTTGGTGCAACTGGCAGTGAGCCTTTACTTCTACTGTAATTTATTTAGACTGAAATAATCTTCCTTAATTCTACAGTCAACACCACAGTTGGGAAATGGAGCAAGGTCATTAAAACAATTAAATTTATACACCATTTCCTATTATGAGCTACTCAAGATTGAGACTAGGACTGGTTATCTCAATTAAATATTAAAAAGTAGAAGACCATGTTAAGTCATGTCCTTGATGTTTGACAACTAAAACGTTCGTCCTATTGATCAAGTCATAAAATTAAGGAAATATTCCACAACTATTTACACAGTGCATATACATTCATCATGCATAACAAACTAGATAAAAATGCTAAGTATGTACTACAGTGATAATGCAGAAATCTCCAATACTTAGAAGTATCTCCTATGTTACAGTTTCCTTATATTTAACAAATAAAGTAAAAGTAATAGAATGCCATTAAAAATGGGGTTAAAAATGTGGAAGAAAAAAGGGAACTTCAGCCATAAGCAGTTATTACGGACAATGCTGAACACAAATTACTGCTCAAAAAAGCTCAATGTTTAATTAAATAAAAATCTTTCAAATTGTACAAACCTTCCAGTAATCAGACTGTAAACTGTAGTACCTCTGGTATGCAGATAATGCTGAAAGACAAAAAGTATAAATTACCTTAATTTCACAGAATTTTAACAAGCAGCAGCAGCAAAATAGCAGAAAACCCAAATCAGACGAAATTCAACAATTCAGGAAGAACTTGAAGAAAACCAAGACTGCACTGTAACATCTCCACTGCAAGTGCCGGCAAAATCCATTTCACATGAAAGAATAAAATAACAAGTCAAAATATCTCAGGAAATAGAACTTTCCAAAGGTGAGCATTTTAAATTTAACACACTGGAGGACAGTAGGCGACTTCGTTGGGAGACTGTCAACCAAAGAAGCAGCCAGTTGGAGAGAGAAGGGAGAACGAGAGCAAGTCAGGCAAAGGGAAAAGTGGGAGACAGTTGTCCTGTAGAAGAGTCAGTGAGCTAGAGACAAACAGAATGCTGCTACTGCTGCTTGCAGCTACTCATGCCAGTAGATCAGCTATCATGGTATCCCACACAGATTTTGTGCCACCCTCACGCATCCACTGTAGCTTTTCCGCAACTATTTTGTGACATTTCTCATTAAATTCCACTTATGTCAAGTGTTCTTTCTGCCGCTTTCCACTTTGTTTTCTAGCAGAAATCTCCATAGCGTTACAGCTGATAAAATGGCTGAAATACAACTAACTTTCTTTTCTAAATGCCACTGGAGTTATTTTGGTTCTTGTAATTTTAGATACCTCTTAATGTGCATTCTGGACTGTATGTACGTGAGGTATTATCGCTAAGCATGCAACTTAACACCTACATTTTAAGGCCTTTATTGAATTGTATACATCTTCAGTATTGTTCAGGTTTCTGAAGCAGACAGAAAAACGGACAAAATATGGCATTTTGAATAAAACCAAAATAACACAGCTGCTGGAGATCAGACCTAAAAACTGAAAGCAATAGAAAAACCCAACTAGTACGGCAGCATCTGTAGAGTGACAGAGTTAATGTTGAGACCAAGTCTGCAGGCAGGGCAGGGCAGGGCAGGGCAGGGCACAAGGGCGGCGGCAGCAGCAGGGTTGAGGGGGTGGGGGAGCTGGCAATTAGCCCAACTCTACTGGAACAAAGCAAAAAAAAAGGTGCAATTTGGGTACAAGACAGTGGTTATACTGTGGGTATCTTGTAATGCTTCGCAGAAATCAAGCAGAACGTTTTCTGATATGTGGGAGAGCCCAATATTATATAGATTATTTTCAGAAGGGAGATGGAGCATCCCATGGCTGCTCAGTGAACACAGGTTGAACATTCATGACTGCAGAAGATGCCGGTGAGGGGAAGACCGGCTGATTATAGGGCACGTGTGAAAATGAGCAAATGTTTATTTGATATTTTACCTGGGAACATGCTTGAAATTCATTACGTAACTAGCTGTCAGATTTTCAATTGAAAAATCCACTAAATTTAAATGTCAGTTGCATCAGTTCAGTTCTTCCATGATCCCATTTTGGAAACAGATCAAAAAGAAATTTATCATAAATTAACAAAAACATATATAGATTTCAACTTAGAAGATTTAAAAGTACGCATTCCTGCAATCTTTGGCACTTGCACTCTCAGATGAAACCACAAAATATCCAACACAAAAAGAAATAATGCCATTATATACTGCATATTCTGATAAAGAAGGTCATTAGAATGAAGCAGCCCTCAGACATCCCAAGTAGTCCTCAAATAAAAGGGGTCACTGAGAACCCTCAGGAAGAGTCAATATCTTGACCCCTGCCTCAATTCATCCAGTTCAACCATTCAAATCATTGATATTGAATGCATACAGGTGAGGTCTCTGACCACTCTGCAAGCCAATTATTGCACACGGGGGAAATTGATTTCCCCATCTTTCACTATCTACATTACTCCCAATACCACGGGTTTCTACTTTTTAGTGTGGTACTTTATCAAATGCCTTCTGGAAATCAAAATCAAATGCATTGGTTCCCCTTTACCAACAAAGCTTGTTATTTCCTCAAAGAACTCTACTTAATTTGTCAAACAATTCAACTTTCATAAACGTATGTTGATTCTGTTTGATTATGATTTTCTAAATGCAGTGTCGTGAAAATGTGTAATTTCATGACAGTTAGGTTTTCAGACCATAAAACTTTAGTTTGGACAGGCTGGAATTTTAATAGCTCATGCTGATTTAGTAAATTTTGAGTTGAATGACTCCTATGGAAGAGCACAAGCAAGCAGGGCAGAGAGAGACAGCGAGCAAGCGAGAGCGGGAATATCATTTCCTAAGAACTACCCATGCTGGAACTGGGATGTGTACAATACTGTGGCGTAGTCTCTCTTAACAGGATGCTGAATGAAGGACTGCAATAAAATTCATGGAGGATAATGCCAGCAATATGGAAAATCAATGCAATTTCCCAAGAGCTGTGGCCGAACAGTGTTTTGTTCTAGAATTGCAGGAACCATCAAGGTAGATTTTCAACTTTAAATAATGCTTATAAAGTATATAGTGTTAAATTAGTCTTTGCTTTGTATAACTCTTGCAAAATTTTGGTTTGAAACATGAAGCATCTGTCAATTTTTTTTCTATACTCTGAAATTATTTGTTGGTGCACTGTGTGCTTGTACATTTGTGCATTCTGTCACACTAGTTATTACCTCATTGCCACACTGCATTATTGCTTTGCCCCTTTCTCAATGTGTCCTTTCAAGTAAACCCTCACCCCCACTATTTACTTGAAGGTTTTCTCTACTGCCACAGTAATTTGACTTTTCAGTACATTGGTCTAGCTCGGCTCACATGAAGGCAGTCCCAACATTCCCCAACGCTACCAGCATCCCTGAATTGTAACCCATTTCAACCACCCACATCAATCTTTAAGCCACACGATTGTCCCTCCGCTTTTATTTACCACCCATCAGGCTGCTGCAACTGAGGTACCAATCCAGAGATTAATGTATGTGAATCTGTTTTTAATTTAGCCCCAGTCTGTACAAATTCCCTTCATTTTTAGTCTTGTCTGTCACTGGCATCTATATATGTGACAACACTGTATCCTTTTCCTGCCACTCCAAATTTTGCTCTAATCACAATATCAAGCAGGCAACACAGCCTTTGGAACTCTCATTCCTTGATGCAAAAAGGACAGGAACTATCCTAGCAGTTATTTTTCCTACTACGAACATGCACCTTTCCACTCTGCCTAATTTGAATGAACCCCTGAACCACAAAGTTGTGGACAGTTTGCTCGTACCTTCTGTTCCTGCTCTTGCCTAGAGGTTGCACTAACCACAAACCAAAAACTGAAACAAGTCAATTTGTCCATGAAATTGCCCTAGCATCAAATTGAGACAGTTAGAAATGGTTATAAAACTTCCTGCACTTATTTACAGACACTGTACTTCATAACAGAATGTTCGTTTTCCAGTATAAGTGCCCAAACCATATCTTCGTCACCAACTCCCATTTCTCACATTGTGTTCTTTATTGCTCCTTTGTGCTCAATTCCTTAGTCAAAGCCAATCCTCGCTGCTGGTTGTCATTTATGAATTATTAGACAACCTTTATCCATTTTTTTTGGAAAATTCCCAATGATGCAAACATAATATCCAAAATTACCCATTAACACTTTGGTATTTGGCAATTTGCCCAATGCCTTTAGACTACAATAACTGTAATATCCTGAAACACATATGACCCAAAGGAATACTGCCTATTTTCATAAATGGGCAGAAATTTAAATACCAGAAAGAGCACTGCTTACCTTTTGGATAATCCTCCAACAAGAGGTTGAAATGACCAAGCTGGCAAAACAAGTCATGGTCAACTTTTCCCTCACACTTCTTGATCACTGACTCAAAGCAGTGAATAGCCTAAACAAAACACAAGTATGAAAATGAGAATGCAAACTAAGAAAGACACTTTGAGTTACATCACTGCATTAATTCTGCCTTCAGAGATTATGGGTTAACAGTTAAGAACAAATGTTAATATGGGTACAGAGGCTATGGAGGATGATTCCATTCCAGAATTCAGGATCTCTTCACAATGGAAGATGTTTAATGACCAAATAAATGGAGCATTTAAAAGTATTTCGATTTTAACTCACTTTTTCCCTCATAGGGATTATAGAAATTGTATGCCTATACTTACCCAATATCTAGAAGTTCCTATCATATGTAACATTACAATAGCTTCTGCTGGAAGTCTAAAAACATTTTTGGATTTTCTTTTAATTATGTTTTGCAAGCAGGCTACTTATAAGTTGTACATAAATGGCACAAAACGAGAAGACAATGAACTGAACCTACCAGCACAGACAAAATCATGAGTTATAGTCAGCATTAGTATTAATTCATTATATCCTATGTTTATCCACATATTGAAGTAATTGAAATGATGTAAAAAGAATTGAGTGCAAACCCCGAGGTGGGCTCTACTGGTTACAGAGAAATTTTACCTATTTTACATTCATTTTAAGGTGCTTGTTCTATGTGTTTCAAGTTGATGCCAAAATTGAAAATACTTCATTGGAGGTCACGACAGAAAGTGAGACATTTGGAGGGTATATTGATTAAAAGTGTACTTTTACAAATCGAGAATAAGTGGTATATACAAAATCTATTTTCAGCAAATGACAGTTTATCTGTTTCGATATTGCAAAAATTATGTCTTCCCTTTTGGTCCATCATAGTGCGTGATGGCTAATAGATTTGTAAAATGACAATGCAAAGTGACTTCAAGAGGAGGATTAAGGACTCCTACCTTTTGGGAGATATCCTCATTTACAATTGGGATTTCATCTCCCTTCCCTCTCATGACCTTATGCTTTAGATATCCCCATGGTGTTACTCCACCGCTGCAAAGTACAGGTGTGTTAGGATCAATTTTAAAGGAAAGCCCAGATCAGTATTTGAAATCAGTCGAAGTGCATAAAATTAGATATCATTAATCAACTTGTTCAGATATGTATTGGCACACCTTTGGAACAGGTGAGACTTGAATGCAAACCTTCTGGTGCAGAGTCAGGGACACTACCACCATACCAACGGACCTTTTAGCTTGATCATAGAATCAAAGTCAGAGTTACACAGCATGGAAATAGACCCTTTAGTCCAACTCGTCCATGCCAACCAGATATCCCAATCAGACTTAGACCCATTTCTCCCTAAACCCTTTCTATTCAAATACCCATCCAGACACCTTTTAAATGTTCAAACTGTATCCACCTCGACCGCTTCCTCTGGCAGCTTGGTCCATACACACTCAACCCTCTGCGTGGAAAAGTTACCCCTCAGGTCCTTTTTAAATATTTCCCCTCTCACCTTAAACCTATGACCTCCAGTTTTGGACTTCCCCATCCTACCTTGAATTCACCCTGTCCATGCCCCTCATGATTTCATAAGTCAATAAGATATTTCCATATAATCAGCTAACGACCCCTTCAGACTGATGCCTCCACATAAACATCCAAGCCAGTCTGAATTATCAATTCAGTTTCTCAAATAGGGCCACAAACCAAATAAAGATAGTTCCAGAGTTGCAAACAGGCTCCATTCTTGAGTCTTTTTACAAGTTGATTCATACAAAGTTGGAACACAGTACAGGACAATATAAAATAGCAATGTGCAAGTACAGGAACATTTCATATGGTAGATCTTTACATTTATACCCTGTTTGGGATCGCATTCACAAATGTGAGTGTTTGTAAATTCAACCTTTGTAAATCAGGGACCTTTGTACATCCATTACCTATGTCATTAGTATAGTTCACAGAAACTGGGTTACAATAAATGTCACCAAGAGGATACCACCTACAAAAAGATATTTTTAGCCAATGGTTGACATGTAGATGTTAAAAAAAAAATTACAGCTGCACAGTACATTTAGCCCAATAAATCTGTGCCACTCTTCATATTTCACACAAGCACCTTCATCATTTTCATGCAATGCCAACATATCCTTTTTTTTCTTGTTCATGTTCAGTTTCCTTTATATGAACTTCCTTGCGTTAACTACTTCCATGTTCTAACATTCTCAGGGAAATTAAAATGCACAATTCCAAACTAACATTTATCCAGGTGCACAACCTTTTTTATCCAGTCAATTCCAGGATATCCTAGCAGCAACGAATTCTCCAAGGAATGGAATCTGCTAAGACAGGGCTAGAATTTGGACAAATGTTACCATACTATGGATTTAAAGTGATTATTTTGTCCTGTATTTTTTAAATAGCAAGGTTTTAAGGCAGACGTGTCTATTTGGAAAGCCCAAAAACTAAACAACTGGTAAGGCCTTGGTTCTCTTTTTACAAAGTTGAAACAATAGGAGCTGTCTAAATGGGTGCAGTCAAGCTCCCACAGAACTAGGATTTTTAGTTTCTTAGTATTCAGTAGTAGCAGTTGTTGCAGGGTAGGGTCTGTTGCTGCAGTACATCTCTCCCTGTTACACTGAGTTCTCTTGATATTTTCCTCCTGGGCTGCTAGAGCTGCAAGTCAGATAATCTATTTTCTGAATTTGCCTTTTGCTAAGGGTGTATTTATGGGATGTTACTATATTAAAAAAGTTACTAGTTAGTAGCTAACTAATCTACTATTCTGTTAAGTTTTCCAATAGAGTTACAGCTAAGCCAATTCTTTCCTTTTATTCTTTCTTTTGTTGTATTTTAACTAGAGTATATGAATAAATCATGTTTTGGTTAGCGTTGAGTAGTTTGACCAATTGAATTGCATCTGGAAAACAACACCTTATACCTACCTTTAAAATAAGAAAAAGGGTGGGGTCTAGACTATCTCAATATATTTTGAGGAAGTCTGGTCTGGTCCATAACACAGATGCGCCTAATGGGCAGAGGAGGTAGTTAGTGAGGTAAATTTGCTAAGGTATGGTTCTCACGAGGACTCACGGAGGACTCCAAAAATCTCGACAAAATTGACACAGCCAAAAAAACTGATTCAGCCCACTGTTTTCTACTCCGGAGTCCAAGTTCTGGCAATCCCCAAAGGTAAAGCTGGCATCCTGAGCAATACAATTTTAATTCCTCCATCACTAGTGACAATTCCTTCAGCTGGCAAGACTCCAAGTTTCTCTTCCTCCCACTCCTTTAAGATGATACCTTATAACTTGCCTCTGATCACCAAGCTTTTGCTTATCTGTCTTAATATCACACACGGTCCAGTGTCAAACAGGGACAGTGTTACATTAACAGTGCACTGTAAATACAAATTTTGCGCATTTACTCTTAGTAAACCTACTGATAATCTTAAAGACTTTCCGCTCATCCCTTTCTAATCCAATTTCAGTTTTGCCTGACCAGTGTAATCTCTCTGTGGTATCATCCTAGTGAATCCATTTTATAACATCTACAATGCTTCAAAATGTATTTTATAATATGGAGATCAGAACTCTTCACTGTACTCCACGTGTGCTTTAGCCGAGGCTTTGCACAAATTGAAGATTGCTTCTCTGCTTTTTAGACACTAGCTGTCTAGAAATGATACCCATTGGATAAACATATGGATGATAATGGAATAGTGTAGGTTAGATGGGCTTCAGATTGGTTTCACAGGTCGTCGCAACATCGAGGGCCGAAGGGCCTGTACTGCGGTGTAATGTTCTATGTTCTAATATTTCATTATTTCTTTTAAAACTTTCAGAACATATATAATTTGTCTTTTTTGAGATTTGTGCTGTGGTCGGTCCTAGATTCCCCTGCTTCTCTACCACCCCTTATAGACTTAAATTTTTAAGACGTGACAATGCAATTCTTCTACCAAAATGCGCCCTCAAACATTAAGTTAATTTGTCAATTAAAAACAACTAAAGGTTTCAACTGACATTAATGCCAACACTCCTGACCTTATTCCCATGAACCTGACCATCTATTTCAATCAAAACCCTCCTTGCTAGTTGATGTAATTATTTGTTCTAATTATCTTCTAAAATTGCCTTCCTAAAAATTCCACACTTGGAACCCTTTGTTCAAGCCTATCTCTAAGCATAAACCTCTGCAATCAAGTGTCTGCCTTCTCACAGCTCTATGCTGCTGCAACTCATTTCCACACAAAGTAGTGCAGGGAAGCTTGTGACCTCTGCATGAACTGGCTGACAAGAATTCCAAAACAAACAGTTCTGAGGATGACAGAAAATGCTGGAGAAACTCAGATCTTGCAGAATCTGTGGAAAGAAAGTAGAGTCAATACTTCAGGTCCAGTGACCCTTCTTCAGAACAGGCATGCCAAATTACAGACACTGAGTAAAGGCAAGAAAGGCAAAGCAAAGATCTGGTAATAGTTTGCTATTCGAATAGAGCATGTTACATGACAGGAAACAACCCCTAATTCTTCTATTGGTAGCTTGCACTGCAACTTTAGAATCTTAACTCAAACCTAAGTATCATTCAAAAGTGAGTTGTTTCCATAAGAAGTGTTGCAGTAAATGTAAAAAAGTGAAATGAATTCATATTGGTTGATGTTACTAGCCATTTCAACAGAAGCATTAGGAGAAATCTAGATGCAAATGAACTATCATACTTATAATTCAAAATAGAAGAGTGATCTCCTATTTGTACCTGCTAATCCAAATACTGCTTTAATGTGACCGGCCAGTCTACTGCCCTGGTTTTCAGCACAGCTCACTTATATAATCTTAATCCTTCATAGTACTTGCAATGCACAGCTGCAGGCTTTGCGTTCCAACTAATTTAACTTGTACCATGCTTTATCCCGGTGCCCATCCATCTCATTTCACTTAACTGCATCAATACAGCTTTTTACCTATTTCATCCTTGAACGTACCCATGTTATTCACCCCAATTACTCCACATGGTAGCAAATTCCACATTTAGACCACTTAATGAAAAAGTTATCACCTA